AATTACAATATCTTATATTAGACAAAGGTGCCAAAAACATGCAATGGAGAAAAGATATCCTCTCCAACAAATGGTGCTGGGAAAAATGGAAATCCATATGCAACAAAATGAAATTAAACCCCTCTCACCATGCACAAAACTCAAATCAAAATGGATCAAGGATCTAGGGTTAAAACCAGGAATAAAACTATTAAACCTGCATCTATTAGAAGAAAAAGTAGGCCCTAATCTTCATCATCTGTGATTAGGCCCCAACTTCCTTAATAACACTCCTTTGGCACAAGAATGAAAATCAAGAATCAGTAATGGGATGGATTCAAACTAAAAAGTTTCTTCTCAGCAAAAGAAACAATCTGTGAGGTGAATAGAGAGCCTACATCTTGGAAGCAAATCTTTACCCTCACATATCAGATAGAGCACTAATCTCTAGGGTGTATAAAAAACTAAAAAAGCTAAGCACCAAAAACAAAACAAAACAAAAAAACCCAAATAACCCAATCAATAAATGGGCCAAGGACCTGAACAGACACTTCTCAGAAGAGAATATACAATCAATCATTGAAATACAATATACAATAAATATATGAAAAAATGTTCATCATCTCTAGCAATTAGAGAAATTCAAATTAAAACTAAGATATCATCTCACTCCAGTCAGAATGGCAGCTATTAAGAACACAAACAACAGTAAGTATTGGCGAGGATGTGGGGAAAAAGGTACACTTATACACTGCTGTTGGGACTGCAAATTGGTTCAACTAATATGGAAAGCAGTGTGGAGATGTCTTGGAAAATTGGGAATTGAACCATTTGACCCAGCTATCCCTCTCCTTGGTCTATACCCAAAGGACTTAAAAACAGCATACTACAGGACACAGCCGCATCAATGTTTATAGCAGTACAATTCAAAATAGCTAAATTGTGATACCACCTAAATGCCCTTCAATAGATGAATAGATAAGAAAAAGTGTGGCATAGATACACAATGGAATATTACTCAGCAATAGAAGAGAATAAAATCATGGCATTTGCAGGTAAATGGATGGAGTTAGAGAAAGTAATGCTAAGTGACGTTAGCCAATCCCCAAAGGCCAAATGCTGAATATTTTCTCTGATATAAGGAGACTGATTCATAGTGGGGTTGGGAGGCAAAGCATGAGAGGAATTGATGAACTCTAGATAGGGCAGAGGGGTGGGAGGGGAAGGAAGGGGGAATGGTATT